TTTTCATGTGTGTGTGTGTGTGTGTGTGTGTGTGCATGTGTACAAGTGCTGGTATCCACAGAAGGTCAAAGGTGGATGGGTGTGGGTGCTTGGAACTGAATTCAGGTCCTCTGTAAGAACTGTAAGTGCTCTCAACGGCTGAGCCGTCCTTCCAGTGCTGACTATTCCTTAAAGTGAGTGACTAATGGACCCAGATGGTTCTTAGCGGGACTAACCATTTACTATAGGGACAGAATATCTTGAGATGAATTCTGTTGACTTTGTTGTTTGACGGATGATGTCTCAGTCCATCCCACAGGTAATTTGATTTATCATTTTTGGAGTAGAACCCAGGAGTATATTTTGTCGAAGAGAACACATAAACAAACCTCTATGATGCTAAAGAATCCAAAGGCCTCTTTGGCATCCCTGCTCCTGTTATTTACCAGCCACCAGTCCTAACAAGCCTTGAAGACATAGCCTTGAGCATCTTCTGTTTTCAACTGTTACAGCTGTGGAGCACTTGTTTCCGTCCGGAATTGGTTAGAGAAAGTCTGGAAAGATCACTCAAGAAACTTCAGTTAAGCTATGTGGATCTTTACCTTGTCCATTTTCCAGCAGCTATGAAGGTGAGTAGAAGTTACTTATTTTCCTTATGTCTATCCTTCATTTGGTTCTGTTCGTTTGTCAACTTTCTGTACTTAGTGCTCAAAATAAAAGCATATGAAATTATGAGATGGCACGGGGTGTGAATACAGAAACTTGTGTAATAGTTTAATCATCTCCTTTCTTTCCTGGAATCATTTCTACCTCAGTTCACGACACTACCTCAAAGTAAGAGCAGTTCACTGGCTTCAACCTGCCTTCTCCAGGTTTATGTACATACTGCCTGTCTAAAGTCTCCATGATCTTGTTAGCTGACAGTTGAGGTATATCCTGATGTGGGGTTGATTGGAGGAACAAGACATTTTCTGAGGAAGGGACTCAGCATTTAGGATGTTGGGAACTCACCGACGAGACCCTTTCATAACAATCCAGGACCACAGAGCCCACTAGACATGGTGCTCCTCAAGGATCTGTCTAGGACAGGGTTGTGAGTTACTTAAATTAGGCTTTAGACAGCAACATTCATTGAATTTTAGTGCTTCTAGACATTTGTAGGAAGTAGTCCCTGTGCCTCTAAATTTTTATAATTTCTTTCCAAAATAAGGATAGATTATTCAATCCATCTCAAGGTCTATATGCCCAAAGTGTTTTGCTGAGGCCAGACAGGTCTTTGCATAAGCTCACTGTGCTCCTGTATTTCAGCCTGGAGAGGAGCTTCTCCCAAGGGACCCAGATGGACAAATAATATTTGATACAGTGGATTTATGTGTCACCTGGGAAGTAAGTGCACAGCACAGAGGCCAAGGGTCTGACCTTGAGGGGAAAAAAATCCAGGCAGGAACTTAGGACATTTCTCTCTCTGTCATTTTTTCATGTTTCATTGATTTAACCATGTAACAAATACCAGGTTCTATGCTATATCAGGAAATATTATAAGTACTCACGAAATGTCAGTGAGCAGAGATTAAGACTTAAAGGAAAGAAGGAAATTGCTTATGTATCTGAGAAAGAGTAATTCAGTCCCTCTGTCTTTCAGATAGAACAAGACATTATTTACAAGAGGACAGAGATCATTATGCTCAGAGAACATCAAGGGGCATTGTGACAGGACACAGTGAGTGAGGAGCCCCATAGCAAGAAATGATGTCTGGGAAAGTCAGGGCCAGTGGCTCGGCAGAAGGATTTTCTCCCTTCCTGCTGCATCTGGCTTAACTTTCTGTTCTTAGCATAAATGTTTTCTATGACTGGATCAAAATTTTTTATGCAATCACTGAAGGTCATGCTAGCTCCTTTATCTCTGTCTCTGCCTCTTACATTTGTTATTTGCTCTAGTTTCTAATTCATCCATTGTTTTAAATTTTCCTTCCCAGGCTATGGAGAAGTGTAAGGACGCAGGATTAACCAAGTCCATTGGGGTGTCCAACTTTAACCATAGGAATCTGGAGAGGATCTTTAATAAACCAGGGCTCAAGTACAAGCCTGTGTGCAACCAGCTGAGCTCCACTGATGCATCTCACTAATGTTGTTCTGTCTCCTCTTTCCCTAATTAGACCAGTCCTCCAGTAACACTGCACTTCAGTAAAACCAGTCCCCTTTTGAACATCTGATATTTTAAAACACCAGAACATATTTCAAATTACTGAAGAAAGCAGGGCTTATGACCATGGCAATTTGCACAAAATATACGTGAGGGTATGCCACAACTTCTTAAGATCAATAGACCTGGGGCCTGGAGAGATGGCTCAGCGGTTAAGAGCATTGACTGCTTTTGCAGAGGAACTAGGTTCAGTTCCCAGCACCCACATCATGGCTAACAACCATCTGTAACTCCAGTTCCAGGGGATCTGACTGCCTTCTGCCCTCTGGGGGCACTATACGACACTGGTGCATGTACATACATGAAGGCAATTCACTCATACACATAAAATAAAAATAACAAATTAAATTATTTTAAAATTAAATGGTCCTGGAAGTTAGACCTAGCATATGACTGGCAACCAGTTCCTATCAGAGGAAAGGTCAACAAATTCAGAACATGTGCATGTAAAAGAAAATAGGCGATTCATCATTGAAAAGTGGTTGTATTTTATACATGTGATGTCTAAGAAGCCCCTAGGTGATGCATAATCTGCCAAACTTATAAAAACTAGTGTTTTAACAAGATTGTCTTTATAACAGGGATGGTGTTTGCATCACAATATGATTTTATTTCATGCTGCTTAGCCAGGTACTTCTAAATTTCAAAGTGAAATTACTTGTGCTAGATGCATTTTTCTCCCATAATTCTTTAAGTTACATTTTATATAATTATTAAGACAGAGTAACTCAGATGGCTAATGCTTAAACTATTACACACATGAGAGAGTTCATGTGAGGACAGGAATGATACGTGGCACTTTTGGACTGACTGAGAAAGGCCCATACTTCTTCCAGATATTCACACCATTTTGGACTCCACCCTGACTTCTAAAAGGTGAATAGAATTTTCACCTAGAATAGAATAGCCTCCTCCAAGTGGAGGCTGATTAACTGGATGATAAATGACATCAAAGAAAGCTTGGGAAAAAAAAAGCTATTTATGATCTGTGTAGCAGCAATAGTTTAGGTGAGGTCTTACCAAGTCTGAATTTCATTTCAATCCCTGAAAAAATTGTCCTTCGTACTAATCAGTATTTATGACAGAGGCGAACAAACAAACAAACAAACAACAACAAAGATACAGGGCGCTCACCCCAAACAAAACGAATTTGCACTTAAAGAGTAAAACAGTCCCAGTCACCTGATGCTGGTCTCTTTGAAGGCTGGGGTGAGGGATGCACTTCAAGCTAGCTGAGGGAATTTTTAGGATAATGTAACTATTGTTTTATAGGTTCTATAATGATGGGTATATCCCATGATGCACTTTCCATAATCCAAAGGAGTGTTATGAATTATGAATGTTACTTAATAGTCAAGTGTCAATTCTGGTGTGCTCTTAATAAGGTGTTAATAGCAGTGAGACGTATGGAAGCTACAGCCAGTTTTCTCAGCAAGCCTAAAGCTGCACAAATGAAAAGTACGTCTGTGCGTTCCAGGGATTTGGGTAGAAGGAAAGGGGATGGATAGCCAAAGAATACAGTGATAGTGAACAGCAGAAAGAAGAAATGTATTCAACAGAGCCAAATTAAGAAGAGGATCAAACGGGCCTAGTGGACCCTTAACTCAGTCTTAGGGGTCCTGACACGAGCTTTAGGTTTAAATATAGAAGGCAAGGACTGTGTATACCTAAGCATCCCCTAGGAACAGGAACAGATCCCACCATCATTAGTCCATAATTGCCTTAGCTCCAGTCTCTCCTGCAAGGTTGTCAGCACCGTGGTACCATGTGAAATCTCTTTCCCAGAGTCAAGTTCCCTGACAGGATGGGACCAGACTTCAGGCTTTTCTTTCTCCCTGCACAAGACTTCTGGGGAATTCCAGTTTGTTGGGGACCGTCACTTCAATAGTCTGATAGCTACGGAAAGGGCACAGTGTCTTTTTCAACTATCTTCACTCCCTCCAGGATGTCACAGCTTCCTAGTCTCCATTTGTGTACACTGTGAAATGGGAAAAACTGGGATTACAGGTCACTGAATCCTTTAATGGTGCAAGCTGCTTTCACCTAGTAATGTTTCTGCGTGAGAAAATGGAAACCTTTTCTAATGGCCACCAACAAACAAATTATCTGAATTTGACGATAAAATTTTCAAATCACTTTCCCTTTGAGACAAGATTGAAGATCGGGAATATGTTTCAATGCAATAATTTCCAGTGAGTCTAGTGTTTGGAGAATTTTAAGGTTCACACAGGTCATCAAATCTGTGATAGAAAAGAAGAAAACACTCTAGTTTCTAGAGGTACAGAACAACCTACTCGGATTGTTAGCTTGACTTCTTAGCAAGAAAGTGACCTGAGCCAGGTGTGGTGGTGCATGCCTTTAATCCCAGCACTTTGGAGGCAGAGGCAGGCAGACCTCTGTGAGTTCAAGGCCAGTCTGGTCTATATAGTGAATTCTAGGCTATCTGGGACTATAGGGAGATCCTCCCTCAAAAATACCAAAAACAAACAAACAAACAAAAAACACAGCATGCCAAAACCTAGGGGACACAATGAAGGCAGAACTGTGTCACACCATCTCCAATGAAGCCCACGTGAGATCCTCCGTGGGTTGAGGCTGGAACTACAAGGAAGGTTGCCTCTTGGAGTTGGCTGTGCTAAAAAACATGCAGTGTACTTGGCATGCTTTTACTTGCTATTATCTTTTTGACTGTCACTGTATCATGGGCTTTCAGGGGGCCCGGAAAGCACCTGGTGTCCTTGACAACACTGTCACTGCCTTTATTAAAATCTTTTAATTATCCTAGTATGCAGGAAGAGTTCTCAGGAACTCAATCACCTGAGACAACTTAGCCTCCAGATGGATCACTATTAATGAAAGCCATTTTAGATGCAGCAAGAAGTAGTTAAGCAGAATTAATGCTGGAAAGTCCAAAGAATAATGGATTTCTAGAAGAGAGACATAAATAGTAGCAAAGCCTTCTTAGGTCAGTAAAGGACTAATGCAGTGGGGAAGGAATGAGGGTGGAAGCCTAGGGAGGGGGTGGCACACAGTCAGCATACACTATATATTTCTATACAAGTGTCCTTATCAAACTCAGTAAATGTTGTGATTAGTATATACCAACTGGAAATGTTATATTTTATATCCTAGTATCTGGGGTCTGTCAAATGTTGCAAGTCATTTGAGAAAGATGTCTTATTTTATTGTTTATGTGTGATAATTCCTTAAATGTTCTTATTTCATAATTGACCTGAAATTTCATCCTGACATGAAATCACAAAACTAAGCAGAGTTCTGAGTGCCTAATAAAACCCGGTAGTAGAAACCATAGTATCATAAAGCAGGAATTTGCTGACTGGTACCAGGTTGATAAGATAAAGAAATGTGTTTTGGCTATACGTGAGGGTTGGCAAAATTGTTTTAGTTTTACTGAAAATCTTAGGAAGTGACTAATTACAGAACAGTCATGCTGATGATGAACTTTTGCAATCTTTGCTGTATATATTTCAAACCTTGCAGCTGCAAAAATACACTCAGACCTTCACCAAGCTCTTGTGTGTCTGTCTGCTTGTCACTCGCCGAATCCTTACCCACTCTCTCGAGGACCCTGTTCCGGTCAGACTGAACTGCTCCAGTCTGGGCTGGTCCATCGCAGAACTGGGATGTAAATTTATAGCATTAATTACCACCTACAACAGAAAATTAGAGAATTTACATCCACCTAAAGGCCTTGGAAAGTAGGATAAAAACATCACCTAAAAATAGTAGATGGGAAAAGATAAAAAAAAAATCAAGACTGAAGGAATGATCTAGAAATGAAGAAAACAATACAACAACACAAAGTTTCAATGAAATGAAGAGTCAAGTCTTTGGAAAGATTAACAAGATTGACAGATCTTTAGCCAAAGTAACCAAAAGAGATAGGACCCAAATTTACAAACTCATTTACTAAGATGGAAACTTTCAACAGGCACTGAGGAAATTTCAAAAACTCTAAGCTCATACTTAAAAACCTATATTCCACTAAACTAGACAACCTAAAAAAAAGGATAAATTTCTAGATATGTATGGCCTACTAAAGTTAAATCAAAATGACATAATTTAAACAGACCCACAGTAACCAGTGAGATAGATGGTGTAATTAAAATCTCCCAACCTAGATGTGCCAGGACCAAACGGATACAGTGCAGAATTCTATCAAACCTTCAAAGAAGAACTAATATCAATGCTCCTCAAATCATTCTGTAAAATAGAAATGGAAGGAACACTATCTAACTCTTTTTATGAAGCTAGTGTTACTATAACATCAATACCAAAAAAAAGAAAATTATAGACCAATCTATTTGATGAATGTATTCACAAAAATTCTCAATAAAATAAATTGCAAACTGAATGCAAGAACACATAAAAATGATCATTCATCATGATCAAGTTCTCTTAATCCCAGAGATGCAGGGATTGTTCTAACACAATATGCATCAATAAATGTAATCCATCATACAAACAGATCAAAGGACAGAAACCACATCATCCCATTAGATGTAGAAAAGATCTTAGATAAAATCCAACATTTACTTATGAAAAAAGTCATAGAGAACCTAGGGATACTGGGGACAGATCTCAACATAATAAAAGCAATATACGTGAACCCCATGGTCCACATAATATTAAATGGAAAAGAGCTGAGAGCATTCCATTAAAATCAGGAACAAGCCAAGGATAGCTACTCTAAATGCTCCACCTAAAAGTCCTAGATCTGATAAACACATTCATTAAAGTATCGATTCCCTAAAACAATAGCCTTCTTATATACCAACAACAAATATACTGTGAAAGAAATCAGGTAAATGATCCTATTCAGGATAACCTCAAAAGTCATAAAATACCTTGGAATAAATCCAGCTAAGGAAGCGAATGAAATCTTTAAGACACTGAAGAAAGAAATTGTAGAAGACACCAGAAAGTAGATCAGTAGGCTAATATTGTGAATATGACCATTCTGCCAAAGCAATCTACAAATCCATTGCAATTCCCATTAAAATTCCAATACAATTTTTCATAGAAATTGAAAAAATAATCTAAAAAATTTCATATAGAAACACACACACACACACACACACACACACACACACGCAGAACAGGAAAGCCAAAATAATCCTGAACAATAAAAGAACTTCCAGAGGCATTACCATCCAGAATCTCTAATTATGCTACAGAGCTATAGGGATAAACATAAATATTCAGGAGATAATCTGATGACATGTCCATTGAGCAATACAAAATTGCTAGGTTCACCCCTACTGCCTGGATCCTCCTCAGCCATGGGCCTTTGACTGCTTCAGTGAACTCCCTCCAGTAGAGTAGGCCTCAGATCAAATCGGAAATGAATTGGTTACTCCATAGTAATCATGCCACTATTGTGGAAGCAGACATGCTGCCTGGGGAGTGGAGTTGCAGCATGGTAAAGTCTATTGCTTTCCTCCCCCACCTGTTTGCATAGTAACTTTGGTCAGTACAAAAGCTAATCATCAGGGAGGAAGCGTCCAGCTTAGCTTCAGGATAGTTTCTCTTTATTCTGTCTCTCAATTGTGTGGTGTTTTCAGCAGCTGGGTCTTATCATCCAGTTCGGGTGGGCGACCAAAGAAAATAACTATAACGTGCATAGTTCAGGAGGCCTCCTGGGCCTTGCTGGCAAAAACTCCCAGGGAGGAATCCCCCAGTTTTCATTGAGATTTTCTTTTAATAAACCATGGGTTCTGGGATCGGCATAATCCACCTGTGCATGATTCCTTTCATTCAAACTCTTTTAAATCGCGTTTTTCAGTTGGCTTATAAAATAGTGAGTTTTGGTGTGGTTTCTTCATAAGTCTGTACCTCTGATTAACCCTCCCTCCATCCTCCATCCCCCAGTTCCATCTCTGTTGAAACCTTGCTATCCCAGTATTTCTTACCTCTGTCTTTCTGTGACATTCATTTGACCATCTCCACCCTCCTTAAGGTTCTCCTACCTCCCCATAGCCCCTTTCTCTCTTCCAGTTCTCTCCAGATATTCTGGGTTAGATAATAAGATAGTTTGAATCCATGATCTCTGTACTCTTTAAATCTGATTCATAAGAAAAGGAAGCATTTAAAATTTTTTTTAATAACTACATGATTAGAAGAAGCATTTCAGTACAGCTTTAACATATTCAGTAACATACTCGAGAGCAAAAGTACATCTCTTTCACAAGTGGCTGTAAGTTTCTAGGTTCATAGTTGAATTAACACAGTTATACAGTATTGAACTCAGTATGAGTAAGCTTTTTTAAGGCAGATATTCTCTCTCTGACTCTCTCTCTGTCTCTCTATCTTGTGTCTCTCTGTCTCTCTCTGACTCTCTCTATCTTATCTCTCTGTCTCTCTGTCTCTCTCTATCTCTGTGTCTCTGTCTCTCTGTATCTCTGTCTCTCTCTCTCTCTCACTCTCTCTGTGCAAGAGTTCAACATCAGGTATGTTTCAATCACTCTCTGTTCTTGAGACTGGGTTTCTCACTGAACATGATGTTGCCTGACTGGTTGTACTGGCTGGCCAATGAGCCCCAGGGTCCTCTTGTCTAGATTTCAACTCTGGGAATACAGGCTTTTTCCATGAGGGTTGGGGAAACACACTCAGATCCTTACACTTTCGTAGCAAGGACTTTACCCAATATCCCATTTCCCCAGGCCACTAAGAAGAACAAATTATTTAGCCGATATTTCTGTAATATCTTGGGTTAAAATTCAAAGTTCAGTCCTTGAGAGCTGTGTGGATTAAGAACTATCATGAACTGGTTAATGTTGCTATCATTTGTGAATATTTTTTAACACCACTGAATGAATTGCTTTATGTACTTGTTAAAACTCACATGAGTGACCTTATACGCTAACAAACACATCTGCTTGGCACTCTGCAGGTGGAATGTCACCCATACCTCAATCAGACCAAGCTATTGGAGTATTGCAAGTCTAAAGACATTGCGATGGTTGCGTATGCTGCATTGGGGTCCAACAGAGGAAAGGAATGGTAATGATCTCTGTGAAGTTGTTTTAGTCACAGATACAATATGTAACCTCTAAATTCATTACACAGCAGTCTAAGAGAAATGAAAGTGTAGAGGACTTCATCTCCATAAACCTTTACTAATCCACACCAAGATTGTAAGAACTTCCTGAAATGCTTTTTAAAGATTGTATGTGTATGAGTGTTTTGCCTGAATGTATGTATGTGTGCCTGGTGCCCACAGGGGCCGGAAGATGGTGTTGGATGCCCTGGAAGTGGAGTTCAGATAGCTGTTAGCAACCAAGTGGGTGCTGGGACCTGAACTCATGTCCTTTGGAAGAGCGGTAAGGGTTCTTGACTGCTGAACCAATTCTCCAACCCTGAGTTCCTGAAAAAATTTCAATAATAAAATTATTAAAGCATTTTTCAAACAACAAGTTCTCATACAATATATTTATTACCGTGGTGTTCTTTACCATGTAGATAAAACTTCTTGACTCAATCTTTTCCTAAATTTCTGAAAAAAGTGTTCTTAAAATTCAAGCTCTTTTCTCTTTCTTTGATCCATGTATGTGTGCACACGTGCACCCCCGTGTGCACGCACGTAAAGAAACAAGGCAAATATTGAAACAGCCGAAGGATAGTAAAGAAATTCTGGAGGATAAGCTATCACTAGCCTGAATGGGAAGCACTGAGAAAAATGGATATTCATTCTGAGACATGAAGCACCTGCCTCTTGTCTTAGGATAAAGAAGGATAATCCAGTTCTCCTGGAGGACCCGGTTCTCAACAGCATTGCTGAAAAGCACAGAAGAACACCAGCCCAGGTCGCCCTGCATTACCAGTTGCAGCGGGGTGTGCTGGCCCTGGCTAAGGGCTTCAATGAGAAGAGAATCCAGGAGAACTTCCAAGTATGTGGTGGGGTTGGAGCAGGTCTAGGCAGGGCACACCAATTCCTGTTGCTGCAATTACTTGAAATGTTTTCAATGTATGTACAAGAGAGCTTAAATCATTGTATACTCTCTGCATGCAAGTACTATGTGTAATGGTTTCATCCTTCATCTTCAGCGGGGTTGGAGCAGGTCTAGGCAGGGCACACCAATTCCTGTTGCTGCAATTACTTGAAATGTTTTCAATGTATGTACAAGCAGAGCTTAAATCATTGTACACTCTCTGCATGCAAGTACTATGTGTAATGGTTTCATCCTTCATCTTCAGCAAGGAAGAAAATGCAGCTGCTGAAAAGAATTCTAAACAGCAATCAGATTGGGTTCCCAAATTCAGTTTTTGATCTTACATTATGACCTTTTGGTTTATCATCCTTTGTTCTTATTATTATTTATTACTACTTTTTAGCATGTGTATATTTGTGGTGAGCATGTGTGTATATGTGTCCACGTCTGTGCACACATGTCTTGATTCCTTAACCTGTGTCCGAGCCATTTTCTCTTGTTTGAACAGAATACCAGAGAGTGAATAATTTTCAAAAACAAGTTTACTTGTACCATAGTTACGATGGTAGAAAGGCTAAGACTGGGTAAATATACCAGATGTGGGCCTCAGGTAGAAGACTAGGTACATGTAAAAGGGACAAAGCACCAGGGGCAGGTTGACTTAAGGACAGTGTACACATCAAGAGCCATTTTAGCTGTAAGAGAACGTCTACCTGGAGAATTAACCCAGCGACAGTGATCCTCCTCATTTCCGAGGGAAGATTCCTCTTCACCTAAACCACTCTTAGAGTCTCACAACTTCTCAACATCCTCATGATGAGTACTAAATGTCATTTTGGAGGAGACAAACTACATCGAAACCATAGCCAACTATAAAAAGAAGGAGGCAGATCAGGTGATAGTTGGGTGAGAAAATGCCAAGAATTCTTTTGCTGTGACACATCACGCAATACAAACTCTCTAAGGGCAGATTACGCATGTGATTCATGTATCTGAATAGATGAGCTGCATGACTTTAAGTCTATGACAATTGTCTCATAAAAACCTATGTAAATTTCTGCAGAACTTTGTGTGACTATGAGAGGAAAGGAGAGGAAGAATGGATGATTTGGATCAACTGATCTTTTATGTTTCTAACAGGTTTTTGACTTCCAGTTGACACCAGAGGATATGAAAATCCTAGATGGCCTAAATAGAAATATTCGTTATGTTAATGATTCCATGTAAGTAACTTGTTCTGTTGAAGACAGTGAGGGGCAGGATAGTAGAACACTTTGGTTTACTTCACCTATAGAAGACTAAATCTTTTGCTTCGGAAAATTGTTGGAAATCATTACTTCTTCAGACCTGACACCTGGGATCTCCTCCAAGACTCGGGGCTCTGTCAAAATTAATATCCTAACAGGGACTGGTAATAGAGCTCATTAGTTGAGAACAACCCTGTGAGGTTTGATGGTCCCTAGTCTGAGGTCAGTGAGTATCAGTCTCTGACATTCAGTATCACAGAGCTCAAGAGCTCTGAAATTCCAGCATTGTACTTGTCATCTCCAGTTGCATCCATCCAGCAGGGTGATTGGGAGGTCTTGAATACAGGTCCTCTGCGTGTAGAGATCTCAGTGTTGTGGCAGATTCCTATGGGAATGCACTTCGGAGATATCCCCCAAATGCTATTCTAGGGACCTTGGGAATCTCTAGATTATTAGAGAACATACCCATCCCATAGATCTAGATTAATACTGTAGGGAGGACTGTGAAACACAGTTTCAATCATCATATACAGGAAAGAATTAATTGCATGAGTGGAACAGATGGACTACAGAGATCTAGGTAGGAATCCATCAGGTCCAAAAATGACATAATTAGCAGCATAAAGAACAAAAGTTGTCTGAACAAACAGAAAGCAACCAAAAACATTAAAGAAATTAGCAAATATCTGTTAGCAATATCCTTAGATGTAAATGGCCTTGACGCTCTAATAAAGAGATGCAAACTGGTTAGCTGATCAAATTATCTGTTGCTTCCAAAGGATGACTCACTTGGAAAGATACTTGAAGACTGGGAGCCAAAGACAGGAAGTCAGTCTATCATGTGACTAGAAACTATAAACAAACTGATGTAGCTACTATTATATGATAACACAGACTTTGAACAAAATTAATCAGAAAGATAGAAGGAAGGTCACCACGTATGAATAACAGGAACAATTCATGAAAATGATAAATCACTTGTAAATATGTACCCTTTCACTGTTTGGATTCCTAATTTCAAACAACAAATGCTGCTGGATGTAAAACGTCAGCTACGATTACAGTCAGCACTTTCATTACCACACTTTTATCTTTAGATTAGTCATCCAAATTAAAAATCAATGAAATAACTTCAGAGTTATATTTGTCATTAAATCAGGTGACCATAACAGATATCTGCAAAATATCCCATTCAACAAACATGAAATGCACATACACACCACAGTTTAGGCCACAAATCAAGTCTTAAACAAGCGGAAACAAATCAAAGTAATCTCTTGTAGTCTTAACAGATCACCATGCAATAAAAACAGAAATAAATGGCAAGAATACTTCAGAAACTATACAAACATGTGGATATCAAATGATACACACAAGAATGACAAGTGGGTCACTCAAGAAACCAGAAAGCAAATTTTTAAATTCCTGTATTCAAATGAAAATGAACTTTGGGATATAGCTAAGGCAGTTTAAGGGGAAAGTTTATAGCTATGAGTTTTTACTGTAAATAGTCAGAGACATCTCACATAAACAGCTTAATAATGCACCTCAAGGTCATAGAAGAAGAAGACAAATCTAAAAAATAATGATGATTCAACTAGAAATTAATCAATCAAAGATTGGAAAGAACAATGTATAAAGTCTATCCAATAAAAAATTTGGCTTTTTTAAAAGATACGTCAAAATTGGCAAAACTCTAAACACCAAAAGAGAGAGAAAGCTCAGACGAATAAGATTAGAATAGAAAAGGGGCTGTTAGGATAGATCCCAAAAATTTTAGCTGATTCTGATGGAATACACTGAAAATTAAAACTGGTTTAAGATTCTACCTCACCCCAAGCAGAATGGCAGTGATTTGGTAAACATACAAAAACAAAAGCTAGCAAGAAAGTGGGGAAGAGGAACCTCAGCACCTTGCTTGATACAGCCACTATGGAAACAAGCATAAAGGCTTTTAAACTCCACTGGACAAGCAGAGGCCTCCTTGATAATTCTATTGTTCTCCAAGGTCAAACACAGCATACCTAATTTTAGAGCTTTATGCTTTGATGGAAACCCCCCTCATGTTAGAGCTATGAGCATCAGTTACAGCTTAGATCTCAGCCTTATGTATTCTGTATGTCAGTAGTTCTCCTTCCTTTATTCTATCACCAATACCACTCCCTTTTTTCCAGGTTATGATTTTGATTTGTTTATTTCAAAAAGAAAATCCTGCTGCTTTTGTGTCCAAGCTTCACCCAGCCTAGCAGAGACCCGAAAAGACTCTCTCTCTTTCAGGCTTATTTCACACCCAGACTATCCATTTTTTGATGACTAATAGCAATTGAATCTGTGGTTTCTTCAAACTTCTTTGATTTGGGCTGATGCATAGAAAATACCTCAAGAATGAGAAGCTGCCTGGCTGACTTTATATTGCTCAGCTGGAGTACCTGTATTAGAGACGCCTCTACACACAGTATTATTCAGCAAAGAAAATAAAGATACGTTTCAAACAGTTTACCCTCCTACAGTTTGGGCATTTACTTTTCATTTTGATGTTGTTTGTTTCATTGGTTTTCCTGTAATGAATTTTAAATGCCATTAAAGCACTAAAAAAATCAAGGGCTGGTGAGATTGCTCCTCGGCTTACTGACTCCCACAAGTTATTCTCTGACCTCTGTGCTCTTGTATGCACACATATACACATGAACATATGCATGAGACACACAAAAAATAAATAAAATGCAATTAAGAAGTTAATCATTTGGTGCTGGAGAGATGGCCCAGCAGTTAAGAGAACTGGCTGTTCTTGCAGAAGACCCAGATTCAAATCCCAGCACCCACATGGCAGCTAACAACTATCTGTAACTCCAGTTCCAGGGGATCCGACAGCCTCTTCTGTCATCTGTGGGCCTTGCATGACACGGGTGCCCTTACCTACATGTAGGCAATACATGTATACACATAAAAATTAATAAAAAATTTAATCATTTATGATGTCTTAAAATTTTCAGTCTAGTCTTTTCATTTATGCATAGTTTTGGGGTTTTTCCCTTCTGTAACTGTAGTATATATAATGCATTTGTAATATGCTTTTAATGGATTAAATTTTTGGTTAATACATACACTAAAACCATCCAGATTTCAATCCAAAATACTTATCCAACAAAGTAAGTACCAAGAGGAATTTGAAAAAGGCAAGTTGTATAAGTCTACACTCAGAAGTTAAAGCTTTTATAGTTACCTGGAAATTATTTTTAAAGAAGTCATCAAAAATATAGCACATCAAGCAATTATCAACACATAAAAAATGAAAAAAATAAAAATTTTATAATCAAAATAGTAATTTCATCCAGTTTTCCAGATACAATGTCCATCTAAATATCAATCACATTTCCATATGCTATACATTAACAATGGGATCACAAACATCAAAGGATATTTCATTCTGATTAATGGTTAACTAAAAGGGTTAAAAGATCCACAAATTTTATTATGGAAGCTAGGAAATACCAAAATCTGCTATTTTCAAGATCTTGAATCCCTTTTGTTATTAATTTGCAGCACTTCATCTAACGAAGTCCAATTTGTAAACTCTGTTTCATGATCATACTTTTGGTTTTAACTTTAAGAATATCACCTAGTCCTAGATTCTAATGCTTTTCCTCTTATTTTCTTTAAAGCTTTATAATTTTAAAACTTTTATTTACTATTTTTATTTTATGTGTATAAGTGTATTGCCTACATGTGTGAAAGTGAACCATGTATGTGCAATGCCCCACAGAGGTCAGAAGAGTTCCCATCTCCTGGAATTGGAGTTACAGATGGTTGTTAGAACCACATAGGTGCTGGGAATCAAACCCAGGTCCTCTTGAAGAACAACAGGTCTCAGTTGCTGAACCATCTCTCTAGCTCCCTACAGTTTTATACTCTTAAATATTTTATTCATTATTTTTATTTTATGTGTATTTGTGTATTGCCTGCATGTAGGTAAGTGCACCCATGTGGTGTAATGCCCATGGAGATCAGAAGATGCTGTCAGATCCCCTGGGACTAGAGTTACAGATAGTTGATAGCTGTCATGGGGGTTCTGGGATTCAAACCTGGGTCTTCTGCAAGAACAACCAGTGTTCTTTATTTACTGCTGAGCCATCTCTCTAGTCCCCAGTTTTATAATTTTAATTCAAGCTAATGACCTATTTTTGTTAGCTTTGTTTATCATGTAACAATTACGTCCAAGTTCATTTTTCCCTCTGTGGACATCCAATTGCTGCAGCTTTATCTGATGAAGAAATGACCTTTTCTGCATTGAATTGATTTTGTACCTTTATTAACAAGTGGCTGAGGTTATTATTATTTATTTCTCAGCTCTAGGTTTTGTTCCTGTTACTGATGAGTTAATCCTCTCACTAACACAACACTGATTTCTGTGGTTGTGACTCAATGCCAAAGTTGGTAACACTTATGTCTACAGTTCTATCTTTTTCAAAATTAAATATTCTTTGACAAGAAAAACAATTAAATAGATAAGTACCATCATACATACATGTCAGAAAGATAATGGAGGAAGTCTGCATTAGTGTACTCTTTAAATTTATATAATTATTTTATATTTAAAGTTTCTCACTCAAGAGAACTGTGTGTTTTATTATCAAGGCATATTCCTATAAGGATTTAGATTTATTTATGATCTGCTGCCCAAAAGGATTGTTGTTTATTCTAAAAACAAAAAGTAATGAACCTCAAAAGAGTTCTTGTGTGAAACTAAGTGATATAATCAACTACAGAGTCAGAACTTTGAGTTTACTAGTCTGCTAGTATTTGAAGATTGATTTCAATAGGTTTTGCACTGAGAGCTGAAAATTTTAATAGAATCTCAGGTGTTATGAATAGAGTAAGATTTTCCTGTGCTTTAGATATATTTTTACTTGGCTATAGAAACTTGAAAATCACTGTTTTGGAATATGACATTTGATGTGTCTATAACTTATGTGTGAGTGTGTGTATGTGTGCAAGTGTGTATGTATGTGCGCACTCATGCTTTTTCATGTGTGTGGTGGATAGAAGTTGATATTTCTGTTTCTCTATTGCCCTCCATCTTGTTGATTTATTTTTGAGACAGGGTGTCTCAGTGAGCTTGGAGCTCACTTACTGGGCAGGAGTAGCTGGCCACAAGCACTGTGGATCCTCCTTTTCCTACCTGATCAGCAATAGATTTTAGATGCTTGACACGCAGCTTTTTAAATGAAGATGTTAGAGATTTGAACTCAGGTCCTTGTGCTTGCACAGCATGTGCTTTATAAACCTCCATCGTCTCAGCCTTATGACATGTCTGTAATCACTAACTCATCTACTACATAGACTTTGAGATATATTAATTTAGAACATGTTCATCTTCGGAGACATCTGTTCTCAGTACATGAGAACTATCCCCAAGACGCCAAGAAGCTAGGGGAAAGATGCAGAGATCCAGACTAGCAGAGACTACCAAAGAAGTGCACTTCTGGTTAGTATAATGAGCAAGCAGATCCTTACAACTTGGGTCAGAAGGAAGGGTGTATATATTACTTAAGATAAAAGTGACTTCAATCAAACCATAATATCACTGGATTAGTTTAAAGCAATAACATAAAGTTAGGCATATTCTTGGACCCAGTTGTAAAGCTGTACATGTCCCTGTAATGGTTTTATTTATGGCTTACTGACAAACAATGGAAAAAGTCATTGTGGTTCCTCAGGGGCCATTGCAAAGATTGTAATGCAATATGGCTGCTGTCAAGTCAAGCTGAACACGCAGTTCCCATTGCAGTAAGGATTCCATGCAGTCCTCAAATATATTTGCTTAGTTTGATAGATTTTTTTTTGTTTTTTTTTCAAATATTTCAAGTATTGAAAATAAACTTTAAAACTTTGCTTATTATCTAGTTAGGCTAAGAAATAAAATTGTTAATCATCTTTTATCTGCCTTCTTACAAGACTCCCTAAAAGAATCACTATTTTAAATTTCATATTTTCATTTCCATCTATTCATTATAGGATTGCCCAAGTTTTGTTCATGTCCATTATAAAAGTTATCAAGCGTCTTTGACTGTGAGGATTTTCTGGGTATTGCCAATAAGTGACAGGGTAAAGCGTTCCGCAGCCTCATTTAGCTTTCGGTTATTATTTTGGTTTCTTTAATATTCGATAGGTAGTGACGGACATTCAAATACTAATACTGACTTTGACCACTTCCTGAACGTCTCCTTAAGGAATATATCAACAACGCTAAAATTTTATGTCTTAAATGGCAGGATGATTTGTCATCATGTGTGTCCAAAGCCTATAACTCCAAACAGTTTTTAAAGTGACGTAAGTTGTAAAGGTTATCAGGTTCAAAGTGGAGATATTTGTCAAGCCGTCAGTAAATAAAGTAAGGAGGCAAGCTGAGAAGTGATGAAGGAGAGCGTCTAATATGCATAACATTGATGATAATAAGAACATTCACAACCCTGCCAGATCTCTGCTGATAGTGAGAGCCGGAAGGTCTCAGAAAGAGGTAGCCCAGATAGATGCCTCTAACTAGGGCTGTGGGCTTTCTCAGTGTCAGAGAAGGAATTAGAGAGGAGACAAGTAAGGAGGAGCGAGTGAAGCCCTGTGTTCACCTTTTATTGTTAGGACAAAACACCATGACCCAAGCAACTTACTGAAGAATTAATTTGGGATTACATTTCCCGACAGATGAGAGCTCATCGTGTCAGGAAGGCAGGAGAACAGAAGCAGGAAAACTGGGAGCTCATGTTTCCAACCGCAGACACAAAAACAGAGGGCAAACTGGAACTGGAGCAAGGCTACGGCTTCTCAAACCCACCCTCCAAGGATTCCATGGCCCCACGGATTCCACGACCCTCCCCAAATACCGCCACCAACTGACCGAGTATTCAAATACTTGAGTCTGTGGGGGAACATTTCTCATTTAAGCCACACAAAGATTTTCTTAGTAAAAGCTCACACTTGAGAGGAAACGATGGCTTCTCAGGATAGCAGGCTTCATAGACTCTGTTTGGTGGGCTTTACTGTAAAACCGTGGGATGTTGTATAAGTTTACATAAGATTATTTTAACTTTAAGAGAATTTTTGATTTAAAAATTTCATACAATGAATTTTTCTCATATTCAAGCTTCCTCACTGTTTTCACCCTAACCCTATCCCTCCCCACCCCCACCCCAACTTTGTACCTTCTGTTTCCATATGAAAACTACATTCATATTACACAACATATCTGAGCTGGATGCCAGGGAAGTCATATCTCATTAGAGTGTCAGTGATCTATAATTCTTACACAGAGCTGTTCCAGAGTAAGCACCCATTCCCTTTCCTTTGGACAAGGAAATGTTTTGGATGACGACATGCGCAGGTTTCTTGAAAGGAAATTTTCCTTCTTAATTTCTGTTTGTCTTACACAATGCTTAGGAATGTCAAATTGGGATTTCTCTTTTCCTCAGTGATCAGAAACGCTTGGTTTTATTCATCAAAATTAGTTTTCTGAAGCCCTTAGATGCAGGTTACATTTAGGTTGTTTCTAGTCCTCACTCAACACAATGACCCACTGTGTACTAAGGCATTCTCTAACAGACCGAATC